AAACCCAGAGTTTGCCTTGGCTATTAGGCCACATAAATACTTCTATGACATCCACTTTACCTAACAACCCCAGGGCACTGGTGTTCTAACAGATCAGTTTAGAAAACCTAGATCTATATCCATGCACAAAGTGTTGAAATGCACAAAATTAAAAGTTCCACAAAACTAAAAGTAGGAGGAATAAAATAAACATGAAACAATAATATAAGGAGGTAAATATTATGCTATAGATAAACCAAGACATTGAAGTATGCGATTTAGGGCTGGAATAAAACACCATAATGGTATATTTTAGATAAAAGAAACTGATTCAATACGATGATCTTAAGCAGCACATGATAGGAAGAAGGTAGCCAGGCAAGTTCATGAGCATGGGGCTGGAATCATGGTGGGAACACGGGGGGACGGTAGAGGGGAAGAAAATGGAAGAGCTGTAACTGTGGAAGCCACAATAACACATCAGAAAGGTGCAATGGGACAGTGGTGGGTGATCTGATTTCCCGGGAAAACTTTCTGATAAAAGCAGAGGATGTGAAAACTGTGTGCCTTCCTTCCTTTGCTGATAATTTTAATCTCTCAATAAACAGAAGTACTGGTGGAGAATGGGATTGGGTGTCAGTTCAGTTTTCACAAACATGGGAAGAGTAGTTGGTCATTTAGAAATATCAGAAACTTTGGGAGAAGGCCAAGTGCTTGTAAAATCCAGCCTCTCCATAATCCTGTCAGAGACATTTTAGAGGGGATTTCTTGGAAGGAAGGCTACACTAAATAATCTTTAAGCCCCTTCTGAGACAGTAAAGACTGCCTCTCACATTCCACAGGCACCCGGAAGAATTCCAGAGGCGGCTGCATGTGAACTGAGCAGGAAACAGCCGTCTGTGACTGCCTTGAAAGAAACAAACAGCATTACCCATGCAGTCCAGTAAAAAGAGCGTAAGAGATGTCATATAAATACTCCATAGAGCTGGAAGGACTGAGACAATGTGGTGCTGGAATAAAGATAGATCAGGGGTACAGAACAGATACTTCAAACATGGGATAGAAATATGCATAAGAATGGAATGTTTGATAAAAGCTAAGAAAGATAGAAAGGTAAAAAAGATAAAAGTAAGCCAACGGAGGCCCAGAAAACTGGGAATACGTATCAACTTCTACGGTGGGACAAGCCTTTTCGTATTTAGAAATGGAATAAAGAACTCATAAAGGAAAAGTTAAACATATTTTTTTTTTAGAAAAACAACATTAAGAGGCAAAAAAAAAAAAACAGACTATATAAGTGTTTTTAGGAAATATGAATTCCAAAGATTAAAACGCTTAATAATAAATAACCAAATGTAAATCAAAAAGGTTTGAGCTCTGTGTGATAAATGGATACAGTATGAAAGTAATCTATTTGCAAAAGAGGAAATACTAATAACAGAGGAGGTAAATAATTTACAAAGGGTAGATATAAAAAAAATGAGGGCAAAATCATAGGATGCCATCTTTACATATCAAATTAGCAAATAAATATTAAATACATACGCATATTTTGGAAATTAATCGCCCAGCATTTAACAAGAAACTTTCAAATGTTCATTTCTTGTGATCTGCTAGTTTTACATACAGGAGTCTATCCAAGGACAGTAATTCTAATTGCTGAAAAGCTCTATGCGTGGAAATGGTTCACATAATATTACCTGTTTTAAAAAAATGAGCAAAAAAGGAAGGAAGGAATAAGAGTTAATAGTCAATGAATGCTTTCTATGTGTAGGTGCTATGTGGTTATCGCACGTAAACTATCATATTAAAATCTCGCAACAGTCCCATGAACTAGACATAATCACCATTTTACAAAAAAGGTAACATGCTTCTCTCTGTGCTTGAAGACATTAAATTCTCCAAACAAACTTGCCTTCTAAGAGTGAAACAATGGAAACAGCCTAAATGTAAACACTAGGCTGGTTAAATAAATTGGAGGTTTGTTCAATGGATTATTTACATTTCTTACATATAAAACAATAAAATGGAAAAACTAATTTAGGACAAGGTGTTAATAAAAATACACAATAGAGTATTTAATGTGATGAAAATGTTTCTGTGGAAAAAAGACTGGAAGAAACTGCAGACACACTAAGTGAATAAAACAGAACCCGACCCTGAGAAAGTGCCAACAAACGGGGTCAGCGGGAGCCCCGAGGAACCACGTGAAGTACAGTTCACCTGGCAGAATGCAGAAATGACGAAGGGACACCCAGGAAGACCCTGAGAGGCTGGAAAACAGTTGAAGCAGTCTGGCTAGTACAGGAGATAGAGAACGTAATGCAGGGCAGATACGGTAAATCTTCTATAACGAGCAGGGGCTGTAATTCTTTTCATGGTAAGTTGCCGGGAAAATCATAAATTGGTCATGGTTAAAATGTCACAAGACTCAAAATCATAAAGAAAAAATAATGAATTATTGAGGTTGTGGCTTACTCTGGAAGTTACACAACATTTTCTGACACAAGTGGGAGGTGGAGACAAGAGCAATTTCTGCTAGATAAGCATTTCAATTAGGCAGTTGGGAAAATTTGGGTGGAAAAATGCAAATCTTTACTCTCGAGTTAGTAGATGGAAGTATCTGCCTGGGTAAGCTTTCGGGAAAAGGGGTCTGGATCAACGCATGTTCAGACCATAGAAAATGTCACTGCTTGGCCAAAATGAACAAATCAGGAGACTATAGATGCTGGGAGGACTCCATGTGGAGAAATGGAACCTCTTGGCACTGTTGGTGGGGTGTTCTGCAAAGGGACCAGTGCAGCCACTCTGGAAAAACACAGTGGAGGTTCCTCAAAAATTAAAAAATAAAACCTTACCTCATGACCCAGCAGTGGCACTCCCGCGTTAGGATTCAAGGAGGATGGTTGTGAGTATTGATGGCAAGTTAGGGGCACTTGTACCCCATCACGAGGTGAGAAGAAGCAGCACTCTAACAATATTAAAATTATGCAAAGAGCCTAAATGTCTCATATCAACGATGAATGGATAGAAATTGTGGCTTTACAATAATGGAGTACCACGCGCGGCAATGAGAAAGAACGAAATATGGCCCTTGTGGAAAATCTGATGGAAACTGGAAAGTGTGATGCCAAGTGAAATGCTTCACAGAGGTATGACAGATACCATATGTTTTCAATTTTATGTGGACCGGAGAAACTAACAGAAACTCATGGGGGAGGAAGAAAAAGAGGTTAGAGGAAGAGAGCCAAAGCATTATTAAGAGACTCTAAAAAAACTGAGAACAAACGAGGGCGATTGGGGGTGGGGAGGAGGGGACGGTAAGTGATGTAAGGTATTGAGAGGGCAACCTTCTTTGGGATGAGCACTGGGTGTTGCAAGGAAACCAATCTGACAATAAATTCTCCCTTCATATATTGAAAGTAAAAAATGCAAAGAAAGCATGTGACAAAAAAAAAAAAAGAAAAAATGTCACTGCCGCAATATATTACCAGCATGTACCAGACTAATCCTCAACTCCTAACGAGTTTTATAAGCCTTCCTTCTTGAGAATTTCATAAATATCCTAAGAATAATGTTTTGTAACCTAGATCTGACTCTCTTTTTTCTGTCTCCCACTTGTCGCTGTCTCAAGCCTCCCTGCTCCTTTCAGATACTAAAAAACCCATAATGAGATATATTCACAGAGATATGTAGCATGTAATATATATATATATATATATATATATATATATATATATGTACAGGTACACACACACATAAAACTTACTATAACTAGTTTAGAATTTGCTATCTATGGCCACTATTGAAAAACAATAAAAACAACAACAAAAACAAACAAATGCTTGGTCACCTCAGCACAAAATACACAGGTTTGTGGGGGCGGAAACTACCTCTCCAATGGCGACTGCTTTCTACTTGGTGCATACATCTACCCTCATCTGACTTGACGGGCAAAAGTGAATTGTTCCTCTGACGTAACAATGACCATAACATAATAACTGACTCTCACCTCTCCATTGGAAATTCTGGGAGGGCAGGGACCATGCCTGGTTTGTTTATAGCTGGAGCACCCACACCAGGACAGTAACTCAATAAATGTTTGTTGAATGAACGAATGAGCGAATGAGTGGATACTGCAAGTTTTATGTATCTTTCCTTTCTGGACAGCCCAAGTCCTACTCTTCTGAGAATATCTTCTCTTAGAGCCCCAGTGATTGACCCTTCTGGAAATTACTACATTATTGGCCTGTGTTACCACTTCGCACCTGATTCTACACATTATTCTACTTGCTGGGTTTTGTTGTTGTTGTTGTTGCTGTGCTTTGCAATTTAGGGAGACATGGTCCTCAGGAACACTTATGTATGTATATATCTATTCTCTTCCCTGGAGTATTTGTTCTACAGCACACGGAAAGTCCTCAATAAAGATGTATTAAATTAAATGATGAAATCTTTTAAACGGCCTTCTACTTGGGCACATTTCTAAACATTTTCCCTATTGAATGCATCGTATTATGATTCCAAAGAGTGACGGGAAAAACGTGGACTGGTGTCAGTTGATTTGAATTTCTAGTTCTGCCACCGCAGTGCTGGAAAAGCCACCTGAATGCTGGCCCTCTGTTTCCCCATCTTTGAAATGTGAACATTCGTAAGCAAACAAACAATATCCACCTGCCTCAAAGAGACGACTGTGGAATCAGACGGCATAATGTAGGTGAAGGAGTTTTGCAAATTACAAAGCAAACGTTAGCTCTTCTATTTAGCAATTTAAAACATGAAATTGATATCGCAATGCCACAGATGATATATACTACACATGGCTTTTTCTGAGAATAGCTGTCGGGCAGGAGAGCAAGGTGATGAGGAAAAGAATCTCAAGCACAACCTGCCAGACAAATCCCAGTCATAAACATGTCCCATGTTGACTATGCTCAACACTTGCATGTGGGTAGATTACTGGACACCTGTCACCAACACCCTTTGGTACTGCTGCGAAGTACCTTGAAACCCAAGCTTACCAGACACAAGCTGCTGTCCAGGCAACCCCACGGGAACCATGCCCAAGTTATTCATGGCGGTGGCCCAGGCTGTGGGATCGGTCACGGACATGTTGAGCTGGGTTGTGTCTATCGCTATACTCCCCAAACCATCAGCTGCTGCGGGGAAAAACAAACTGTGACTTCCAGTCAACAGGCAAGAGTGTTTGTTTTAAAGGAGATCACATTGCTAGAGATGCGAGACTTCACTTAGCACATTCCCCAACCACGCGAAAATAAAGCACTGTAATCTACAGCAATGTTTTCTCCAGACGTAAACATAAAGGGTTTCCAAATACATTCTGGGAGGAAACTTAATGACATGTAGTTTGTGTTACACACAGCATGCCATTAAGGAAGCACTCCTGGGAAAAAATGGAGGAACTGCTTCTTTCTCTTAGTGAGACAACGTGAGTTAAGTTCTAAGGTGGAGAGGCAGAACAGCACCACTCCTTTGGTAAGGGAAAAAAAAAGTCAATTGGTTCAGGAGACTAAAAATAAATGCCATCATCTATTTCTGAGCAGAATTTTGGAGCAGGCACACCTTCCAGCTATTTAACAGAATTTTTAAAAACAGTCGCCAAGCAGCGACTCAGTTCGGTCCTAACTGAATTTATCAGGGTTACCTTGTAACATACTCTTTCCTTTCTAAGCTTTTTGTATCATTCCATTATGGAAATGCAGGTGTCTGCTTAAGATGACTCTTCCAAAATATTTCTTATAAGTTCAGACTTTCGTCAAAACCAAACAAACAAATAAATAACATTAAAAACAAAGAGCACAGGGCCAGAAAAAAAAAAAAAACTCAGCAAAACATGTGAAATTTGACTTAATGAGTTTTGATATATGCTAGTCCCATGGCCCGATTTCTTTAAGGATTCCAGGTTCCCGGTTCAATGCCTATTTTCACGGCCAGGCAAGCTCTTCCCCTAAGAACTCACAACGCCTTGTTTGTGTCCTGGGCGGGCCACTGGCATTTACCTGCAGCCATCATCTGAGGAAGCTGCTGGGGACACCGGCTGATGCTTTCCACGCCACCTGCATCTACGACTGAACTATGAGCATCCTTGGGGGCAGGTGCGCTCTGATGGCTGAGTGCAGGTTCCCCACGGAGGTCATCGGATTCTGCAAAAGGGGAGAGGAGGGTGGTGAGAGATCACGACAGTTAGCTGAAGGAGCCTTTGAGGAAAACACTGTTGTCTGGGCAAAAACCAATGAACAACAAAGGACAACTTCCAGTCACAGACTGAGACTCGGGGAGGGGCTGCTTCCTGAGCCCCGGGCGGCCCAGCCGGTCCCTGCCTAGGTTTGCCCTGGGTGCGCTGGGCGGGCCAGCTGTCAGCTCACCTAGAGCCACGCTGCCTGAATAAGCAGCCCCTTGTGCAAGCGGCCAGGGCCTTCCTTGCCTCCTACTGAAGAGACTTCACAGACGGGGCTTATCAGCCCCGGCACAGCCTCTTCCACTCACTACACATCAATGGAGAGGGCAGACTCGGGGCTAAATATGATTTTCTTTAAGTTAAAAAATTAATTGATGTTGTTATTTTGGAAGACGGTCGTCTGCGAAATGTATTCGGGGGGGGGGGGGGGGTGGAAATGGAGGGCAGAGGAAGAGAAAAGCCAGGAGCTATTCGCCGTGAAGCTGGTAAAGGAGTGCGCCCAGATTACAATAGCCAGCAGAGGCAGAGGGAAAGAATAGTGCGCCTCTCATAAAAGAAGATGGAGAGGATGTTGGGGCAGCAAAGAGACACAGTTGTTTCTTTCATTTCTATGAAGATAAATTGAACAGGCCACAGTTTGTTGGGTCTGGGTTTTCCCTAGCCTCACAGCGCACACGCATGCGCGTGCACGCACGCACGCGCACACACACACGCGCACACACGTACATCTATATGCACATATTTTTGTTAAACTTTCCAAAGCACTCTTCTAGTAAAAACAAATAATAAAGCATTAAATAAAGCTGCAAAGGAAAGGGTCCCTCTATAGCCCGCTATTTATAAAATAACCTTCCCCCCATCCTTAAAAATGCAAAAACATAGCATTCATACATACAGTGTTTTTCACGCACACGTATTTTAAGTGCACATTCAGCAGTTCAAAACTGAAAGGCAAAACATACCGCTTACGTGTGGGATCTGCGAAGTTTGAATTTTAAGTGGATTTGATGTAACAGTTTAATTATTTCTTTTTATTTAGCTATAAACTTAGAAGTTTTTCTAACCCATGTTTTTGCTATTGGGTATTTTAGAATTAGATGCGATGGTCTGTTTGTGTGTGTCTAGTTCACACTTTATGAGTATAAGTTTAGTTCAAATGGAAGCTCAGATTTCAGTATTTCAAGGAATAGGTGGGTGATAGCAAATTGTTTCCATAGTCTCCACAAACACCTAGCCCTCGACCGGAGGGGCACATGAGATGGCGAGGAATATTTTCCAATAGCTTGTTGGCAGATGATACATCATCATTCAATAGAAAACGATTCCAACTTTGAGAGCAAACTGCACTCAAGACAAATGCTTTATACCTTGCAATGAAACTCACCTACCCATGGGGCACCTGGGCGGTTCAGTCAGTTTAAGTGTCCGACTTTGGCTCAAGTCATGATCTTGTAATTCATGGGTTTGAGCCCCCCACATGGGGTTCTGTGCTGCCAGCTCAGAGCCTGGAGCCTGCTTCGGATTCTGTGTCTCCCTCTCTCTCTGCCCTGCCCCCACTCATGCTCTGTTTCTCTCTCAAAAATGAACAAACATTAAAAAATTTAAAAAAACCCAAAAACTCTACTACCCAAATGAATTGAGACCTTGTTCACTTGTGGTGAATCAATTATTCACCACGGCAACGGAAGCCATCAGACAACGTTCTCACCATAGAAAATGAACTCAGTAACAAATACATAATAGATCTAAATGTCTGCCCTTTGGCTACCCACACACCAGCTATGTTTCTATGATGAAACCTCACAGCACTTTCCCCTGTCTACCTCCAACCAGTTCAGATCACCACAGCAGAGTCCGGCTAGACTGTTCATTCTTTTGCTCAAATGGCCATGGAGTAGAGTTGTTTCAGATCGTTGCAAGGTCACCATTTGTCTTACTTATCTCCCTAAATGAAGTTTAGTTGGCTGGCTTCCTGCCAGCTTGGGTTCTCTCCAAATGGGCATTAATCACAACTTTCTGTCCAATGAGTCTGCAGTTCTGGAATATTACATCAAAGAACATCCCTTTACTTTGTAGGCTTTACCACTGGTATCTGACCTGCCATGTTTCCCCTTGCCTTTTTGCAACAGTATTTTAGGGATGCCGTTAGTTTTCCATGGCTCTATAACTGTCTGTTCCAAAGGTAGTTTTCTCCTCAGTGATTATAGTGTCACATGGGGGCATCAAACGTCCCAGGGGCCCATAGTGCCCACCCACACTTTCATGCCCATCCTAAACTAATGCTGTTCCATTGGGAACAGTAATGAACTGTTACTGTGTCATACAACAAATAAAAAACAAACAAAAAAAGTCATTGCTTTGTTGGCAAGATGTAAGATGTAAACCTGAATTTATCCCCTAATGAGACTCTGTGACACTTAATTTATTACATGCCTTCAATCTACCAACCAATGGTTTCAATGTCATACAACTTCATGTAGCTGCCATGTACCTAGAATGGTGACTCCAAAGTAAGTTGTATCACCTCGTAGGCATTTCTAAGAGTCTCAAGGAAGCCAGGCAATTTTTTAAAAAAAAGTAAATTTCCTTGATGCTTGGAAGAAAGATGATATTTTAAATTAATTACTACCTAGTAATTTATGAATGGTTGCAAGAGTAATTTTTATACTCTCCTAACATCTATCGTTCCTATTGAATACCTGCCTCTTTACATGACTCAAAGCCATAATGCCTAATTTATCATTCAAATCCATTTCTCTGCCTTAGTTTTCTTATTTCTAAACTACAGAAAAGATTGATCATGTTAATGGTGTTTACTTACACACAGAGATGTGGGGAGTTAAAAAATTATAGCTAATAAAGCACTTGGAATATAGTAGATGCTAATTATTATTATTTTATTTGGAAGTGTAGTGTTTCTATGAAGGTAGCCTGGGATCTCAGTGTTCTACGGGATAATTATGTAATTAATTCTAAAACAGCGAGTAACACTTGATATTTCTAAAAGTAAGCACTGCCCTAGTTTTCTATGCCACACCTAAATTGTAGCAGAATATTTCTTTATTTTCCACAAATCCTTTATAAAATAATACAATGTGAATTAAAAGATGTATGAATTTTCTTCTCTAGGCTATTCTTCTGTTTATGCAACTATGAAAGCTTTCAAGAAACTGATGACTAATTGTGAAATTAGCAGTTTGAATTTACAGATTTTAGTAAGACAAGATCATCACAAAACCAATCGGATGTACAAAATGCCAAGGTTAATGATACAGCACTGTCCAGGGTTCAGATGAAATCTAACCTGTTCTTTGTTAAGGTATATGCACGTACAAAATCTCATACCCAATTTCGTAACTGTTCAACAAGATTGATTTATGCTCAGGATTTCACTGGGCTACATCAACAGGGCAAATAATTTTTGAAACTCACCAAGCCTATGAAAATACTATTTTCCCCCATTCCTCCCTCAAAAGAAACAAACAGACAAACAAACAGCACAGCTTTTCTCACTGTAAGTAACACAACTCTTGCTAACCCTGTCCAACTTTCACGTGTCCCAAGGACACACACACACGCTATGAATAATAAAACCCATCTGTAACTGTCCACAAAGCATAGATTGCTATAAAATGGGGGTAGAGATGAGTTAAGTATTGAAATTTTATTTTTTAAAATTTAACAGAATGATTTTGTTTGATGTTAAAGTACATAATATATACTTATATGTTATTTATATGTAATAATTATATATAATTATAGTATGTTTATACATTTATAAAATATATTTAAAACTATATATAAACTGTATGTGTATATATATACACACACACACATATGTTTTTCAAGTGAATTCAGTCATAGAAGAAAGGAAGGAAACTAAACTAAAAAGGAAAATAAAAAGAGAAAGAAGGAAATGACAAAGGAACAAAGGAATAAACTTCAGTTCCAGGGTCCAATTGCAAAGGCTGGAGGTTTGAAAACTAAAGAACACAAAAGGGGAAATTGTTGTTGGGAACTAGAACACAGACGAATTTAAAGTGTCAAAGAAAGACAATTTTTAAAAATGTTAGATCCTTCCAGATAAGCTTTTGGTGCACTTAAGTCATTCTTCACGATCTAAGATTCCACACCTCCCTGGCAACCAATGTGGGGCCATCATCAGGTTACCGGGATGCTCCCCTTTTGTGAGACTTCTTGCAGCTGTTCTTTGAATAAGCTGAAATCTATAAATAACAGCATCTCCAGACCCATTAAACAGTACGTTAGTGTAATAAAGGCACATACGTACATATATGCTAAAGAAGTGATATCATTGGAAGAAAGGAAAAATTTCCATTTGGCACGTACTACAGAGGAAAGAAAGCAGGTCTGGCCGTTTCTCAAACACAAAATATCATTAAGGATCTGAGCTTGCATCCTCCATTTTTCCATTCTGTCTAGCAGCCAGTTTTAAACTATAAGTTGTCATTCTTCCATGTTAGGGAGGGAACAGTTACTGAATGGATGATAAGGTTTTACCCAAGACATGTCTGTCTTTGAAAAACTCAACATTGAGAGAGACAGACAGACAGACAGACAGAGGCAGAGACAGACAGAGAATATGAATGAGAGAGAAGGTTTCCTCTGAAATCATGAAATCAAACAAAATTACCAAATTTGCCAGAGACAACTCAACCAGCATGGGCATGAGAGGTAGATAAAGTCCTTGGACGCAAAGTAAAATACTGTTTGGCATTACATTTTTTTTTTTATTTTTTTTTTTCAACGTTTATTTATTTTTGGGACAGAGAGAGACAAAGCATGAACGGGGGAGGGGCAGAGAGAGAGGGAGACACAGAATCGGAAACAGGCTCCAGGCTCTGAGCCATCAGCCCAGAGCCCGACGCGGGGCTCAAACTCACGGACCACGAGATCGTGACCTGGCTGAAGTCGGATGCTTAACCGACTGCGCCACCCAGGAGCCCCTACA